TTTCTTTGTATTAATACAATCAATATAAACCAAAGCTGGAGCCTGAGGACAGTGTATTCAAAATAGTACAAGTACAACACCTGAAGTGTACTTGAAAATTTGAAAAAATAACAAAAAAATCAATAAATTTAAAAAACATTCCTTAGTGATTCAAAGAGCTAACAGATAACATGGCTAGATCAGTTTCATGCGGCACTTAAAGTATATTTGACTCATTTTACTTCACATCTTTTAGCTTTCACCAGAACATCAACATCAAGTCACATCCTGAGTGGCGGCCAACTTCAGGATGGGATTCAAGTTCTTGTGTGAGCCTTGAGCGCAGCTTTGTTTCATTTATACTCATTACAGAGAACTTGCTCACAAAGATAAGTTTATTTTCACTCTACATTGTAAAGCATGAAAATAAAGTTTACACAACCATCTCGCGGGCCGGATCTAACCTGCTTGCGGGCCGGATCCGGCCCGTGGGCCGCATGTTTGACACCCCTGTTTTAGATCAAGCACAGTGACGTGTCCAGGCATGTTAAGTGGGGTGGGGCCCTTGTTCAAACATGGGTGGCACATGCTTTTTCTTTTTTTTTTTGGGGGGGGGGGGGGGGGGTCACTTTTCACAAAATCATTACTTTTTGGCTTTCTAGTGAATTTGTGAGCTCCAGTTTGTGCCATGACCATCATCTGCTCTCCATTCATTGTGTTTGTTTCCTACAACCTGATGGGTATCGATGGACGGATGGAAAGCCACTTCTTGGTGCATTACTGCCACCAGCTGGAGTGGAGTGTGGACCGGGACGCAATACTTTTTATGTCAACAAGGAAAAACAACAGTAAAGGACAATAATAATACACTTGTTCTGTCAGCCTGTTGCTTGAAACCCTAGGTCATGCTGCTGCCTACGACTTTGGGGTTTGTAACCCTGACCGAGCCTTTTGTGGACAATGTTAAGCAAAGTTCAATGGAACTAAGTGGAGTGGCCAATCTGATTAAAAGGGTGGCATTTGCTACCTCAGGCCATTCCCTGCACACACCTCTGGGAAAGGACATGATGGTCATTTACCGATTTACCTGAACCAGTGGTGTCCAATCCTGGCCCTCGAGGGCTCCGATCCAGCATGTTTTAGGTGTTTCTCTGTCTCAGGCAGCACAGCTATGGTTGAACCACCAGTACAGCTGATCAGTACAGCTGATAATCATCCTGGACGACTGAGGTTTTCCGGGCACATCCAACCAGAAGGTCAACTTTACTTTATTTAAAGAGAGGACATTGCATATTTATGAACAGCAATACGACTGTAACTATGCCAGATTGTAGCCTTAGGCTAATTTCCATCTGCAGTCCTCTGACAAGTTAATGTTAAGAGATAAGACAGACAACAATACACATTTAAAAAACAGTTAGGAACATATTTTACGAAAAAGACAAGTGTAAAAACAAATAAAAGTGTCATCTATGATTGCATCTTTGAGTTTCCCGTAGCCACAGTTTCAAATTTCTTTTGAAAGTAACAAAACTTGAGCTTTCTCCCACTTGAGTAGGAATGCGGTTCCAAAAAGTCGAGCCCTGGAATGACAGAACATTTTGAGAAAATGTCGTTCGCCTAAGAGGGAGCTCACAGTCGCCTCTGACCGTAGCTCGAGTTACTCTGGAAGAGTCCCTGTGTGATTTTTGAATAATAAAATCATTCATTGGTGGAGGGGCTAGACCACGAATAACTGTATAGACCAGGCAAGCAGATTTAAAATGTTTAAAATTCTGGAAACTCTGTAGAGAATATTTATCCAGAATCGGACATTGGCTTCTTGTCCAGGATTTTCATTGCCCTTTTTTTTAGCAGGACTCCACAGGTCTGATAACAGAAGAGGCAGTAAATGACCAGCTGGTGAAGAAGAAGGAGACCCCACAGGAAAACCCAGGACACGCTGGAGGGACTATGCTTCTCGGATGGCCTGGGAACACCTTCGGATTCTTCCTCAGGTGTGGTGAAGCAGAGAAAACTCTAGAATATGCAGCATTTTGGCTCTAAAGATCAGGACACCTCTGGTCTAAACTGCTTCTCCTGCACACCTGGAGTGTAAACTGTCACCTAGACGCGGTGCTAAATGTTATTTATTTGAACACAGGGACTAAGAACTTCAGCTTAAGCCTGTTTAGTAAAAAAAATAAAATAAAAATAAAAGATAATAAAAACATTAAATTTGGTGCTTTAACTAGGACACCAACTAAATCGATCTCAAAACTATACAAAGCCATCTCTAGTGCCGGTGAGGCCAACACTTTTTATATCAAGGACAAATGGGTGAGGGAATTGGGAGCTGATATTTCCTCAGAGGGGTGGAGCAAAATTTGGTCTTTCCAGTGGTCAACGTCCAGCTCAGAGAGCTCAGAGAGCTGGAGGGAACATGGCTGGAAGAATATTATAAGATATTTCAAAACGCTGTATCAGCAGAGATATCAAGGCACCCATACGCCGTGCTGGAGACAATGCGGCGCTACTGCTGCTAATCATTTGCATTGATTTTGGGACGGTCCCAGGTTAAAGGAATTTTGGACGGGAGTTCAGACCTCGTTAAATACAGTTTTGAACATTCAAATCCCTTTGGACGTTAAGGTTTTATACATGGGGCCTGTCCCCTTTCTGAGATGTAGGAGTGAGATTAAGTTGGTGCAATTACTCTTGGTGGCATGTAAGAAAACAATAACGAGAAGATGGCCGAGTCCTGTGCTCCCCACACTGGATGATTGGTACGGGATCATTTTAGAGACATTTAGGATGGAAAAACTGACATATTTGTTAAATAATCAGAAGACCAAATTCTTTGAAATCTGGAGCAATTGGGAAATTCAATTCCTCCTCAAGAGCGGACTTTATGTGATTCAACTGTTAATCAACTTTTTGTAACCTAGCAATTTCATTTCTTTTTTTTGGCAGCAGAGCAGGCAACCCCTCAGTTCCTGGTTATGTTTACTGTTCCATATAAATGTGTTTAACCCTTTAACTATTACAGGTTCCCCCCTCGAGCACAGTCTCTTTTCAGTAGTTTAGATATTAAGGGACTCTCCTTGATACTCCTCTGTGAAGGATGGGATGCTCTTACCGTCCACTACTCATCTTGGATTCAATTGGGGATGGGGAAAGGAGGGGGGAAAAACCTGGAATGACCATGTTCCTAGGTCATTTACATCGTGTCTTGTTTATTGATATATGTTCATTCCAAATAAAGATTTAATCAAAAACTAAAAACATTAAAGGGACTTTACGGAGTTTTGAATTTTTATGCTCGCGATTGCCCCCTCAGGCCAAAAGCGTAACGGCAGCTTCAATAGTAGGCTCGTGCACGAGGCGCGCATGCTGTACGTGCACAGTCCTTAACGAAAATAACAGCTGAGACAGTCCCTTGTGTGTATGTGTGTGTATGTGTGTATGTGTGTGTGTGTGTGTGTGTGTGTGTGTGTGTGTGTGTGTGTGTGTGGCCCGGAGGACAGGAGGACGTGCAGCTAATTAATTAAATAATTTGGTTCTGTACCTTTCTCTTCAGCACAGCCGACAAAGGTTTATGATGGGTCAGTCCTCCTGCATGCTCAGATCATTCCCTTCCCTTGCTTGAAAAATTGTTCCAAAATGAAAGTTGAACCCACATCTTATCTGTGAATTCAATGCCGTTCGGCGAGTCTCAAATAAAACTTTGGGCATCTTACTGTAAAAATATATACCATTAATGTAAAAAAAAAACTCTAAATCAGGGGTGTAAAAAATGCGGCCCGCGGGCCGGATCTGGCCCACAAGCGGGTTAAATCCGGCCCGCGAGATGGTTGTGTAAACTTTATTTTCATACTTTACAATGTAGAGTGAAAATAAACTTATCTTTGTGAGCCAGTTTCCTCTGTAATGAGTATAAATAAAACAAAGCTGCGCTATAGGCTCACACAAGAACTTGAATCACATCCTGAAGTTGGCCGCCACTCACGATGTGACTTCTGATGTTGATGTTCTGGTGAAAGCTAAAAGATGTAAAGTAAAACGAGTCAAATATATTTGAAGTGCTGCATGAAACTGATCTAGCCATGTGACCTGTAAGCTCTTTGAATCATTAAGGAATGTTTTATTTATTTATTGATTAATTTTTTATTTTTTTCAAATTTTCAAGTACACTTCAGGTGTTGTACTTGTACTATTTTGGATACACTGTCCTCAGGCTCCAGCCTTGTTTTACATCGATTGTATTAAAACAAAGAAAACAATCTGAAGTTGTTTTTAATTTACTGGTCCGGCCCACTTGGGACTAGATTTCTCGCAATGTGGCCCCTGAGCTAAAATGAGTTTGACACCCCTGCTCTAAATAAACTATGTTGACATCCAGAATCAAACCCAGGTCTTCTGCACAAGTAATCTGATGTCTTACTAGATGAGCTAAAGTGTCAGTGACATCTTTTGTATCTGTAACATTTATATCCTTGATGACAGCTGAAACAACGTTCAAAGAACGATTTGGAGCAAAAATGGCTATTTTGTTGCTAATTTGCAGGAAATATCTAGAAGAAAGTTCTTCAGAAATGTAGCTAGCTTTGTCACTAGGCGTTAGGAACAGCGACAAAGACTAAAGCTACTGATAGCAAATGCTACGGGCGATGCCTGAGTGCGCGTGAAGCAGCCTGCTCGACCCGAGCAGCTCTCTTTTTCTGTGATTTTACAGAAAAACAGGCAATCACAGTAAAAATGCCAGGGCTCATTCTACAGGACCAGGGCATTGCAGGAGAATGTATGAAGAAGATATTTATTATTTCTATACATGTTTTGGCTGTCAAACTTCCATAATGCCCCTTTAAATCTGAATTTGTGACTCTTACTTACATCCTCTGCATTTCAAAATGTTTATTTTTTGCCCCAAACTTTGAGTTTTTATGGTTTTTATCCATATAATCACAAGAAACAACTGGCTCATAAAAATACTTTAGCTAGTAATCAAAAGTATTTACTGTGATCACAAGCACAGGAAAAAATGGTGGTTAAATTCATTTATTTTTAGTTTCGATTAATCATTTTTCTTTACATAAAGCTCGTCACAGAAAAATACATACATTCATTAGGAAGGTCAGAGTGTTCGAAACCACACTTCAGCAACTGGTTCTGCTTCATAAAGAAAGGGTGTCTGATGTGTACAGACTCACTTCACCCGGAAACAACAGGGATCAGCAGCAGAGCGGAAAACAGGTCAAGTTCTGACCCGGTCAAAAAAGTTCTAATTATCGACATCTACAGGTTGATAGGTAGGATGGACATGTTTCCATTTTAATGAATAATAAGGACCCTGTTCATTTAGAGGGAAAAGTGGAAGCAAGGTTAAGTAAAAAGTGTTTATTAGTTTATAAAGAGGGAAAAATGCTTGAATAAGAAAAATGTTCCCGTCAAAAGTCACTTTTGCTGCAGCCTGGCAGCTTTGAACTTGGACACCCTTTTAGGCGCCTGCTGAGGCGGGGCCACGTCGGGCACCACCTCCTCCTGTTTCCTCTCCAGTATGGTTGGCAGAGCCGGTGGGACGATGGTCAGGTGGGGGACGGCTAAAGGCATCGGGTCCTTTTCTATCACTGTCCCTGAAAACGCCTGGAGAAGACATAAAGAGGACACTCGGATCATTTTCCTTTGTGGGGTTGATGTTTAATGACGGACATCGGTCGCTTTTAGAGCCGAACAAATAATCTGAACACTGAATCTGTAGAAACACCACAAGTAGAAACAAACTGACTTCAAAGCGGCTGGAGGCGAGCAGCGGCACGGCTGTGGGACTGTCTTCCTCTGTGATGCCGTCGCTGGTGTCGCTGTGCGTCGTGTCATCGTGACTGAAGCTGCGCGCCACCATCCTGCGCTCTTCGAAGTCGGCGGCGCTGCTCTCGCTTGTGTCGCTGCACACGCTGTTCTCTCGACTGCGGGACTTCAAGATGGACTTTCTGGGAACGAGCTCGCCGTTCTTCACATCCACAAACAACCTGAAGGAAGAAAAAATGAAAGCAACTCTTTAATTTCACCAAAGCGACACCAGAGTTCCTCCAGGTCTTCTACCTGTAAATATCCGCCGGGGTCGTGATTTTGTGGAGTTCGTGGTGGGCGTGTCCATTACTTTGGCCATTTTTCTTCTTTCTCTTCGAATGTTCCTTCTGCTCTTTCCTCTCGCTGAACTTCAACATGGTGTTTTTGCCCGTGTTGATTCTCACCTGAGGCACCAAGCAAAGACGCTGCATGAAGAACGCGGAACATGCAATGTTTACTTTCTAATCCGAACGACTCTTTTAACACAACAACCTTTTTGGGTTCGACTGTGTGGGAGAAAAAAATCGTCGGCGAGCAGTCGCCTTCTTCCTCATCGTACTCGTCTTCTTTCCGTTGGGAGAGCGGCTGTCCGCTGGGAGGTGCGGCTCTCCAGCTCGGCTTCAAACTCGGCCCGTTTACCGGAGGAGCAACATCCGCCTCCTTCTCCTCCTCGGAGGAAGAGGAAGATGAATTCTCGCCGTTCATGTCTGCGTAATCACATAATCTGGAGACAAACGCGACACTTTAGATTCAACCAAATCTAATGAATAAATCTGATAAGACGGCGATCGCACACCTGTCCTGCTCATCCTGAAGCTCCTCGAGCTTCTCTAGTTCATCCAGTCGAGTCCACAACTCCTCCTCAGTCAAGATGCCTTTTCTGCTCCCTCCATCTTCACTCTCCTCCTCATCCTCCTCTTTCAGATCAAACACCACATCGCTCTTGGGCTTGGAGTTTGGTTTGTGGGCTTTCCTTTGCTTTCCTGTAAAGGAAATCAGAATCAAATGAACCAAATCACCAATTACATGAAGAAAAGTCCCTCTACTGTTGTAAAGAATCCAGTAATGAGTTAAATATTTGCTTTGCCTTCTCATAAGCTGCGTTTTAGTGAAATGAGGTCAGACGAAAGACGATAATACCTTTTGTGACAGCAGACTCATTGTTTCCGACCTCCTCTCTGATGTCGACATAGGCTTCTTTACTCTAAATCAAAACAATACCAAAAACAGTCAATGCATTAAGTCACCGCCTGCATCTTGCTCAACATCTCACGTGTGACAGCGTGCACAAATGCAACGTACAGCTGATAAGGTTTCCAGGTCGCTTGCAAACCCAACTTTTGCTGCGAACATTTTCATCGTCTTGGACAGATCGTCTAATTCCTTCCTCACATCTGCAGAAAACGAATAAATGATCATGAGAACAAGCGTTCTGCACAGGCAGTCGCAAAAACAGGCAGCGGGCTAACACGAATCTGTCAATGAAACATTCAGCGTCGAGACAGGAAGCTGCAGAAGAGTTCAAATCCTAAACATGTTGGAGAAAACGGAGGAGAGGAGAAGAAGAAAAATGATGGCACAAACAGTTCATAATATCTTCTGCCCTGAATACTACTCCGGATCATTAAATCTTCACAACAATTAAGCCCTTTCACTAATAGCAGCAGAGGGCCCTTGTTTCCATGGTGATCGGGAGCCCCTCCAGTCAGTGCATCAACTGGAAGTGAGGAAAGGTCAAACACAGAAGGCCTGACAACTCAGCCGCTGTCTGACACATTTCAGCTAGCTATGTTTGTATTACAGCACTTAGCTCTGTAATAGCAGGGTGGGGAGGGTCAGGAGACGTGGGGGGGGGGGGGGCTTTGGATGGGCCGTGGCAGCCCATTTCTGCTTCACTAAACATTCTAATAATGTTCACATCAGCGATCGGAGCTTGGGTCTATCCGACTGGATGTGAGGTTTGTGAACGCAGAAAGATCAGCAAAGAAAACACAAACGCCGCACACAACGCACGTTCAAGCGACACGAGACAGGAACCGAGCTCAACTGCTGTTTAAAATGTTCACAACAGAGGCAGCGATGGTAGTGGAGTACCAGAGGGCCGCAACGGGCTTCCAGCCTTTAAACCACTTGTGCGAAACATCCATCTTGCTCCTAGCATGCAGCTTTTTGTGTCGCTGTTGCAGAAAATCAGCTTTGTGTCAAACTTGTAAATCCCATCACTAAGTTTGGCCTTCCAGTTTCTCCAGTTGTGATGCAGCACCGCCCTCTGCTGGACGAGCGCCGGCATCGAACAATTAAGACAATTGTGCAGTGAAAGTGGATGGGACGCCACACTCACGCTTCATCCTGTGATCGACAAGTTTTTGGGCTTGCTTGGCGGCACACTTAGCGAACCAGTTGTCACCCAGCAGCACCGTGACCTCGTTGGTGTGCACCAGCTTCCCGGGCATGAAGGCCAGAGGGCCAAATGGCACCTGCAGAAACAAAAGAGCAGAAAAAAATGGGTCAACGGAAGCAGGTGGGAGAGAGCGGACGTAAAAAAGTTTAAATTTCCAGTTTTTTGGGTCAGTTCGTGCGATTTTAAAGCAGGTCAACGCACCATGATGTCATAAGAGAGTTGATCTGGGAGAGTTTGGAGGCGATCACTCAGAGCCTCGTAGTCACCCGACACCTTCTTCCTGCAAGTCACAAAACCTTTTCACTGTTGGAATTAACCAGCCTCTCCTTACGCTCCATAATTCAGCTGGTTGGGTTAAAATAAGTGAAGAAAAGTCGAAAGTGACACATTTCCTGTTTAATAGCAGAGGAAGAAACTGGTGCAACCTCAAAAGACCATGTTTAATTATTTGATTATAAGAATTTATATGGAGAGTGAATGAAGACACGGATGATGGAAAGGCCCAATAAAATCCCCTTTTGTTAATTGTTGTTTTTTCTACTCAAATGAAATCTGGCAAATGTTGGGAATGATTAAAACAGCTAATTTGACCATTTTTAAATGCACATTGTTACCACTAGGGGGTGATAGTTGTTTTATTAGGGTCTTTTAATGTTTTATTTAATTTAATTCAAATGGATTAAGTAAAATACAATAAAACAAAATACAAACATAAACATTAATATCATACAATTTAAATGAACTGGGGGCAGAAGGAAGAATAATTTTACATTTTCTGCCCCGATTTACAAATAACTAAATTATTAATGCATGTGAACTCGAACAGATTCATCTTTATTCCTGTTTAGACTTAAACAAACACAAACCTTAAATAGCATCTTCATAATTCCTTGACTTGATACATGTTTAAATGTTTAATGAATTTGATTCTTTTATGTCATTTTTTAAATACTTTTTAAATATCAACCTATAACTACCGACTCTCTTTTAGTGCCACACTAAAGAAACATGTACGGACTTGAATAAACCTTAGAAGTTAAATAAATCTAAAATTTTTGCAGGGAAGCAGAAACTGGAGTCTAAATGGGTTTGTACTAGGGCTGGGCAATAAATCGAAAATGTGTTGTTATTTAAATTTCTGACACTTATGTTGTTGTTTTGTTTTTCCCGTGTCAACACATCTGATAATAAAAAAGATAATATGTGTGCAGGTTGGCAACATTCATGCCCCTTTTAAGAAGACGTACCACCTTAAGTCACATATGTAATACAGCTCCACCTAGTGGACAACGTCTGTTTCAGAGCATATGTGTAGTTCCTGTCATCCAGGTGAAAACAGTGGTGGCTCCGGAATTTTTTTTCTGCAGGTGCTATGAAGGAGCTAGTCTTTTTATTGAGGGTGCTATGAAGACTATGAAAGCTAGTCTTTTTATTGAGGGTGCTATGAAGACTATGAAAGCTAGTCTTTTTATTGAGGGTGCTATGAAGGAAGTGGTCATGCGTACCTATTGTTCTCTAAAACACCTTCAACACTAGCAGATACACATGCGTGCACAAAACCTCAACAACACCTGAAACAATCATTAATATACATCATAAACATATGAACAATCACTAACTTTTCCATGAAATCATAAACGCATACAGCCACACAGAAAACCATCTTTAGTGTTGCAAGGTTAGCTAACGTTAGCGTTAGCATTTCCAGCGACAAAACCCTCGACTGCTGCGGCGGTTGAGGGTTGACTCTCTTCATCCAGACCCGTAGGTTTTTGTGGGTCTGAGATCACTTCCAAACATTCATTCGTTTCTGACTGAACCCGTGGAAACGTTGGCAACAAAAAACGATCCATTTTACCACTAGCTCTACCTTTCACTCATTTGCAGGGGGAAAATGAGGTCAAAGGTTAACACCAATTTCCTGTTTTGGTTTAAGTTTTTACTATCTATATGGTAATTTACTGATTATTTTTGTTTTGTATGTTAAATATTATCACATCCACACGTTAAATTAAAATTAAATTGTAAAAAATAAAATCTAATATTTACTTGGTGGTGCAATGACTAATCCAGGGGTAGCTATAGCGCCCCCTTGGCGTCGCCACTCGGTGAAATCCTAGGTAAATCGGGGTAATGATTTTAGGCCGTATCGCCCAGCCCTAGTTAGTGCAAAGAGGCTTTATTCTTCATCAGGAGGGATCACTTGTGTGGCTCTGCTGGTCTAGATTAGCCTGGCAAGCCAGACTAAATAAATGTATTATTTGCAAAGCAAGAATTTGGTCTAGTTCACTAGGCCAGGTCTAGATGGTTTGGATCTGAGATTTATCGAAAATAAATCTTTAATGCAAACAGAACTGCTTTTTAACTGGCTACCATCATTTAATACTTGAAGCTGCAAATCAGCTCAGCCTGCTCATGAAACGTGAGCCGCCATCCGACCTGAAACAACAACTGCAGGCCCCTGCTGTGTGATCCCGGGTAATGCTGAAGGGAACTCGCTGCAGTCGATGAAAGCGGACACACTGGAGCTCCAAAGCCCACACCGCTGTTCCCACTTAATCTTTGAGTAAAGAGCTCTACTGTCTTGACGTGCACACACACACACACACACACACACACACACACACACACACACACACACACACACACACACACACACACACACACACACACACACACACTCTTCTGGTCCTTTCATTAAGTCCAGGATTCAATCACTTCTCAGCATCCTTCTCAAGTTATTTTGGAGAGCTGTTGTCCCCAATAGAAGCACAAATGCATGTTTGTCTTTCTTTGTTCGTGAGGGCTTCCATTGACTTCCATTCATTTTTGTGACTGCATTACGCCTAACCCATACCTGCACAGTAATGATAACCAATGCTGATCTATTCCTAACTAACTTTAACTAAAACCTGATTCACACCAAACCTTAAAACCAACTGGTGGACTTTAAGGAGTACTGGGGACTGGTGTTCGGACAGAACACCATACATATCAGAGCAGCATGAATGCAGTTTATGCACGGTCATCTAAACCTCCTCTGCATTCTGAGCCAGCTCAGTGGCCTAGTGGTAGAATGTCCACCCTGAGACTGGGAGATCAGGGTTCGATTCCTGGTCGGGTCATACCAAAGACTTAGAAAAAAATGGGACCCAATGCCTCCCTGCTTGACACTCAGCATTAAGGAGTTGGATTGGGGGTTTCAACCACCAAATGGTTCCCGAGCGCAGCTGTGTCTGCAGCTCACTGCTCCCCCAGGGGATGGGTCACATCAGTGTGTGTGACAACTAATGGGACTTTAACTTGACTTTAACTTTAGCAGCCGTCAGTTCAGCATACAGACAGCAAAGTATGAGAAAAAGTGAGTCATTTATATTTTTAATGATAACTGAGTGGCTGCACATTCACTGGTGTTTTGCAGTTTATTTCCAGTTGTGTTCATGTTTTACCATCCACACCAACAGACTGATAAATGTGTATCACAATTTTTTATTTTTATTTTACCACCTTTTATCTCTAAAAAAAATAAAAATAAAATTAGACAATAAAGTAGGGATGCACAGATATGATACTGGTATCGGCATCGATACCAGTACCAGTATCGTATCGGTAAAAGTTAACTGATACCAGGAACCGATACCAATGCAGTTGCTTGAAAATGGCTTCCCTGTAACTTGTCATTTCTGTTCACCTAATATTTTAGTTTTGTGATGATTTCCATTCATATATTTTACTTTTTATCTACCTCACAGTCGTCTCCTGTTGAAAGCAGAGAAGAAAATACAATCTGTATTCCAAATCATTGCATTTTTTCGTGTGGTAGAAGTATCGGTATTGGTAATCGGTATCGGCGAGTACTCAGATCCAAGTATCGGTATCGTATCGGTTTGGAAAAAAGTGGTATCATCGCATCCCTACAATAAAGCTTTAAAAAATATACAAGTCTGGGTGTCATACGTTTTTTAAAAAGTGTATGGTGATCTGATGGGTAAACTGGCCCAGCAAGATGTCATTCAGTTGTTAAATTCTAAGTGTTTAGTGATCTCATGAGTAAACTGGGCCATCAGGGTGTCATATGGTTGTTCTAAACAAAGTGTATGGTGATCTAATTGGTAGAACAAAAAACAAGTTAAAAAATCACAAATCTATTAGGTGTCAAAGTTAAGGGAAAAAACACCTTTTCAGATTACATTTTCAAAAAATACTTTAATCACAGTGTAATATAGTTCAGGATTACATTAGAATAAAGTAGAAAACCATTCCAAACCTTTTCTAGAGACATTCTTGTGAGTTTTGGATGCTTACCAGTGCTGAATCCGACTTTCACAGTCTTTCACCACCTGTTTTAGGACAGATCATTTTAGTTTGTTTACAAATTCAGGTCAACACAATCTGATGTCAGGATAATACATATTTTTATTCCTACTGGGAATTTTCAATTCATAAACGCCCTCAATTGTAATAAATAGGTTAATAAAGTTGTGTTGGCAAAGGGAAATTAAATGTATATAATTATTAGTATTGTATTATTAAATAATACAAATGCTCCCCCCCCCAAAAAAACTGTCAAAAACAAAATAAAAGGCTAAGCTTTTGCTTTCTCTTCAACAAAACAGCTGGCTCACGTCTGAACTTTAGTTTTAGTCAAGCTCTAATAACTTCCGGTGACCTTTTGAGTTGTTATAGGGGGCATAGGACTTCCCGATTTGCATTAGACAATAATCTAAATGCATCAAAGCAAAATCTTAAAACTTGCACACAAGTTTCACTTGTGTGCAAGTAAACAAAATTAGCCAAACACACCTCCAGGCTTAAATTTGAACGTAAGAAACTTCTAGAAGGAAGCTAAAGGTAACCTAAAAACACAGATGAGACATGTGACGTAACCAGTGTCGTGCAGAGGCGTCTGTGTGCAGAAGAAATAAGCTCTTCAGCTGACCCACTCGTGGTTTAAACACTCCCAAATGATCCAACCGCGTGGCTCGGCTGGCCTCGCGGGTTCTGCCCACCACCTAAACACCAAAACTTACCTTCTCGTGTTCCTGTCGGAGCCTCGCAACTCCACCGAGACGCTCCAAATTCATTTTCCCACCTTCAGTCATCGTCAATTCACATGCAAAACGGTCAATCTGTGCGTTTTGTGACCCACAAAAACAAAGCTCAGGGGTTGTTGTGAGTCCTAAAGAAGTGTTTATGAATCCAGCAGACGCTATTCCTGAGACCCGTTCTGCACGTATTCATCAAAGGGGCAGTGATGGTTGTCCACACTCTCGGAGGTGATTTCATCTCACACACTCACTTCAGAATTTCTGCATCATTCCCAAATAAATCCACGGTTTCGGTATCCCAAAGATTAGCAGATTCTCCTCGTCACTTTCGCTGCGCCATGCACTCTACAGCAACACGGAAGAAGTTTCAGGCAGACTTCCGGTTAATATTTCCAAAATAAAACACTTCAATTCAAGTTTATTTAAATAGCGACAAGAGTCGTCTCAAGGCACTTCACATCATAAACATTCCAATTCATTAAGCCAATCAGAAAAAAGTTTCCTATATAAGGAACCCAGCAAATTGCATCGTACATCATTCCTCATACTAAGCAAGCATGCAGCGACAGTGGAGAAGAAAACAGTGGAAAGACACCTCCAGAGGATCCTGGCTCAGTATCAGCAGCCATCTGCCACGACTCACTCAAGAAGCGGTCTGTTGGAATAATATAATATAATATAATATAATATAATATAATATAATATAATATAATATAATATAATATAATTCCATGGAGTTTGTTCTTATACAGATATATTTAATTCATTTTTTATATGATGGTTTACATTTAAACCACAAAACATTCAATAAGCTCATCGTCTCACTATAAAACTAGAAAAGTTTAAACCAGCTAGTGTTTTTATGGGAAAATGGGAACCTCACCCTTCCTACTTGCAGTTTTACCAGCTTTACAGCTTTGAAAAAATAAAACTACTCACTAAACTTTGAGATGAATGTCTCACACCAGAAAATTCTTCAACACACACACACACACACACACACACACACACACACACACACACACACACACACACACACACACACACTCACACACACACAATTTTATTTTATTAAAATACCTTGTTATTGTATTTATGTTTTTATTTCATTTTTATTAAGTGTACACATTTAAAATGGAAATGTACAATCAGAATACACATTCATTCATGAATGTGTCTGGTTATAAAAGCAGCATCTACAATAACAGCAAAAATGTATGGTGTGCTTATGGGATGTAAAAAGATTGTGAATACCTCAGGTGTTCTTTTATTGAGGCATACAGGTATAGCTTAAGAAAAAAGAGGTCTGAGGCCATCAGGAAAATGAAGATGGTAGAAATACTTTATTGTTTCATGGCTAGTCAAATAAAAACAGGTTTCAGCCCCATTGACCTTGGTCAGGGAAGGGATTTGCATGCAGATGTATTTTAATCTTATTTACAATTTTAGAAATGAAACTGACCCCAACTGTCCTAGTCCTCTAATCATGAGAACTCATATTTCTACTCTTATGGGTCAAAAGTATCAGTACATGTTTCATCCATAATCATTTAATTTTGATTTTGAATTTAAAGTTAATTATAGATGACTGCAAGGGAAAAAAAACAAGTTACAAATTAGATTTTTTTATCATAAATGTAGATTCCAACAGAAATTATCCACAAATAAAGTTGTATAATTATGAAAATGTAGAAGTACAGAAAACAGAAAAAGAACAACATGACCCTTGTCAGCGTGACTAAGCCTTATTTCTATTCTATTGTAATCGTATTTGATGCTACCCATCCTACATAAATATTTTCCTTTTATTTCGATTACTTTAAAATCAAAACATAAGCTGAAACGAAAATAAATAGTTGGATTTGTTCTTTTATTTAGCTTTGCGTCAGGAAACTCAAAATTCCTACTTATTTAAGTTCGATGAACGCAACACCTCATTCTCCCATAAGGCATTGCGGCTCGTAAATATGCAAAACTCTGAAGTCATGCTCAGCATTTAGAGAACATGGACACAAGTGTGTAATAACACAATGAAAGTAAAGCTCCGAAGACACTACTGAGGATTTAATTTCACAGAAAGGTAATGAATATAAATCATGTTTGCCGCGACTAAAAGGTCTGAGTGTGTTTTAGGAAGCAAAAACGCTAGCTTTTTACACAACATGTTTTCTGATGCAATAACACGGAATCTGTACATAAATATAGAAATAAATATAAAGTATTATTATTGTTTTTCTATTCCCTCGAATGTCAGGGGTATATATTTTATAAAAAATAATAGTTTGGGAATCTGAAGTAAAATATCTTAATATTAGATTTTTAAACCTCAACAGTTCTTATAATCTAAGTAACATTTTAACTCTATACTAAATTCACACTTAATAATAATTTTAAAATCTCCCCACTGTGGGATCAATAAAGTCTATTCTGTTCTATAAAAACAAGTAATGTTTGATAGAACAACGTTCAGCATCTTTTGTATTATATAAATGCATGTATATATATATATATATATATATATATATATATATATATATATATATATATATATATATATATATATATTATAATTCCATAACAGTAACGCCTTCAGCGACACATTTTGTTTTCATCATCAATATAATTAGGCTTTTTTTTTAACATTCAGCGTAAATACCAACCATGTCCAAGAAAAAAAGTTGCAGCTGTAGCAAGAATCTGAATTAAAAGTAAGTAAAGTCCATCTACCTATCACAGAAAAGACAAATCACAAAGTGATTCACAAAAAATTCACACCAGAAGAAGAAAAAACACCCCAAAAGAATCATTAAAAGCATCAGAATCATAAACTATTATCTAATGAAACTGTATATTTTTGTCATTTTAAGTTTCTACACGATCCAAAGAAGCTTGGATCTTTGATCTAATCGTTTTACAGCATTGATCTGACTAGTGTAGCGTTTCAGTGGTCCGTCATGTCTAAAACTATTAACTTTGACCCACAGGATGAGTCACCGCATTAATGATGTCATGAAGCTGTGCTGTGAGTTATCTGCCAATCAGCAGGTAAAATCCACAGTGACAGGATCTGGGAAAGGTGCAGCAGCAGCTGGGGGTCTCGCCTTTGCTGGAGGCCTGATTGGAGGCCCTCTTGGTATTGCTGTAGGTGAGTCAGGAAAAACCATGTGGACGAACCTTTTATGATCTGTTTTTCCATTCATCTGGTATGAAACCTGTCTAGGTGGTGCAGTGGGAGGCCTCCTTGGATGCTGGCTCACCAGTGGACAGTTCAAACCACTACCTCAGATCATCATGGAGCTCAGCCCTCAGCAGCAGCAGAAGCTTTATGATGATCTCATGGCCATCCTGGGAGACATTCAGTGGACAGACTTGTCTCAGCTAACTGCTCTGGTGATGGGCAATGCCACACTGAAGCAACAGCTCACAGGTGCTCTTATTGGGTATGTCACCAAGGAGCTCCAGGCTGAGGTGCACTACGTGGATTAGTGTTGTCTCCATGGTTGATAACCTACCTAAAAGTTTAACATGCCTAGTAAGATTATTGAGTAGAATATAAGCTGCTCCTGTAAAGCAGAAGCAACATAGTAAGAATAGGAGTTGTGGATTTGAAGTGGCCTGTGAAGGAAGTGCACTTTTTTAGTAAAAATATTTATTATGTATCTGAATGCTCTGAAAGTGATATTACGTGGCTTTAAAAGTTGTGAATTTAATACTTGATTTATTGATATTGGAACAGCCTATGGTCATATTTGTACAAAGATATAATTGTGGAAAAAAATGAGCCAAATTGCTTTTATGAATATAATGGCACAAACCATCCATCAAGCTGCATTGTGTGAATGTTTAGAGTATATTGGATTATTTCAGTAAAACAGAATATTACTGCTTTTGTTTACATAACCTTTTGTACGTCATGTGCATCTAATAAGCTTAAAGTGTTCATCTAACAAATCGTAATTCATTATGTTTACTTATTAATAATCCTTCAAGTGCTCCAATATAATCTAAAAACTTTTAAGTCAAAACAACTCTGAGGACTTGGCTGTGACTTTTTCATAAGGGATGACATGCAAAAAAATGTCAAATAAAAATATTTTAAGATTTTTAAAATGTGTTTTAGTCCACTTTTGTTTTTTTCTACCTTTTATGTGGTACTCCTGTTTACAACCAGAATTGATTCTTTTTTTCTATGCAACAGTCTCGAATTCCCAGTAATGCGTACAAAATGCAGCGAAAAATGAGAAATATACTGGCATGGATGAGATACTTTATTGATCTCGGTGCAGCAGTTGTAATCACGTACAGAAATCAAAATAAGTGATGACTCACTCAAGGCTGAACTGCATTAACTCAATAGAGCATTTCTTAATACCTTTTTAATTACAAGTAGACATAAGATCCCTAAAATCATAAATAGAGTCAACTAATTGCAATTTTAGGGAGAGGAACTGGGACAGCATCTGTATTTATCCCACTACGAGTGTGTTGTCATCAAGGAACTCGTAGTAGGGAACCTCCAGATTAAGAGGAGCAGGTCCCCTTCTTATTCTTCCTGAAGCATCATAGTGAGAGCCGTGGCACGGACAGTAGTAACCCCCAAAGTCTCCAGCATTAGCGATAGGCACACAGCCCAGATGGGTGCACACTCCAATAACGACGACCCACTTGGGGTTGATCACTCTTTCTTTGTCATGCTGGGGATCACGCAGCTCTCCGATGTTCACAGCTTCCTCTGTGGAAATTTCCTTTTCTGTACGATGACGGACAAATAAGGGCTTTCCTCTCCACTTGAAGGTCATGTTTTTGCCTTCTGGGATGTCACTCAGCTTGATCTCAATTTTGGATAAGGCCAGAACATCAGCTGATGCACTCATGGAGGTGACAAACTGGGTGACGACCGTTTTGGCTGCATAGACACCAACCACAGCGGTAGCGCCTGTTAACATGTAGGAGAATGCCTTTCTTGTATCACTGCTGTCTTGGGAAGACTTCCTGGGATCCAAAACCTCTGGGCGACGGTAGTCTGAGAAGTCAGGAATCTTGATGTCTGTGTGGGCCAGACGGGTTCCTGCAGGGGCTGGAAAGAGAAATGACAGACAACATTGGTAAATGAGCTTTACGACACCTTATTAAGCTGTATTTACAATATTCTTTCAAATGTTTACATATTTAAACGTTTAATCCTTAACGATATAATTAGGATAGGTGTTAAATGTAACCTTACAAAGTAGAAGCCGACAAGCAGTTAACGGTTCTGTATTACTTTTTATTCAAAAGTACTTTAGAGTAGTAGCATAATAAAATAGTTATGGAACTTTGGTTTAAATATATTAATTACACTCAACTAAATACTTTAGGTAATGTTAAAATTCTAGTTATGAGCTACTACAAGCTAGGTTTTGTAGTAACGTCACCTAGCTAGCTAACTCGGCCTTACCAGCAACGGTAAACAGCTCCATAGCTCCCGGGAACACCAGGCTTTTAAAGGTGTTTCTTGTTGCTCGATAATAGGGTAAAATAACCCCGGGGCGAGTGACTGTGGACATCATTTTGCCCCAAAAAGAGTCTCTTCAACCCGGTAGCTTGGGACACGACCTTGCGCTAAAGTAGCTTGCGCGCGCCACTCTTTTCTGCCTTCCCAGAAATGGTCTAACCTTTAACCGTCCCTGTTACGTGTGTATGTTTTTTTTATTTAAAATAATCTAGAATGTCCCTTATCCTCTTTAAAAAATATTCTGATCATTTTTTTCGTGTAATTATGCAACATAATTATTAAAAAATAAAATCTTAAATAAAAAAATGCCAAAGGTCTGATCAAGGCAGGCACATTTTAAGACACCTCCAACGCGGGGTCCTTATGATGTAAACAAGTGTCGTCGCACGAAATGTACGGAAACGCGCTACACAATGGTAACCTGAGATAAGCGAAGAAAAATGAAAATACCGAAAAGAAAGCTGTTTCTTTTTATTATTTTTGCATACGTGGCGTTTTCACTTTATGCCGCATATAATGTTTTCTTCAGCAACAAAGTAATCTCCCGCGTTCACAGAGTGGTGAAGAAGGAGACAGGAGCGCCGTCGGGTGATTTCACTTTAACATTTAATCTCGTTGAAAAGAATTCCTTCAAAGATATTCAACTATTGTGATTTTTTTTGTTTAGTCATTGTGTTTTTTAATAAATAAAATGCACACAAAGGAGCTAAGTAGGGCCCGTGATGTGTTTGCAGGCGGTGTCAGAGATGGCGGTGCTCCAATTGTTGCTGATGAGTGGAATCCGTGGGAGGATGAGGAGGTGGAGTACAACTCTGCTCTGAACAAAAAGAGACAAGCCTTTAAAGAGTATATGGCTAAAATTGACAGAAACAAACCCAAAAGATACAAGGTCCAAATCTGGGGGAAAGCTGCTATAGGTATGGCATGGATCCAGTCTTATTAGACTGTCATAACCTGGGGCTTTTTAATTTATTTATTTACAGTGCATCTTTAACATCTTCAAGGTTTTTTTTTTCGTCTTTTAAAAATATAATTACTTTTTATAAGATCCAAAAGATGATCAGAACCTGGTTTTACATAACTACAGACAAATTTTGGGGGTTTAAAAATGTTAAATGCCTCTTAGCTTCTTTGTACACGTTTCACAAATAGATGACTAATCTGAACACTGTGAACACATCTGATGTATTTGTGCCCCTTGTTAGAATATTGGTGAAACTTATACTGTGCATTAGCATTAAATATGTAACTTTGATTGCAAATGTCATTAATTATCTTCTCTTCTCAGGGCTTTACCTTTGGGAACATATTTTAGGAGGACCTCTTAACCCAACAGACAAGGTAGCACAGTGGCGAGAGGGGGAGCTACAGTCAGGAAAAATCGATTTCAGGTAAAACACCACAGTTATGTTTAGTTTTTCATCAAACTTTTTGTGTTAGACATACTTCATACTGTTACCATTAAGGGGGGACTTAGACAGACTTGGATTAATTCTTCTTCCAACTACTTTCAGCTTCTACACAGGTCCAGCTGTGGTCCAGGGCCATGTTCCTCTGGAAATGAACAGCCTGGTTGTTGTTCTCAATGGCCGTGAGCCGCAGAAGGTCTCTTACTCCACAAGATGGCTGGAGCACGTCCAAGCTCTGGTTCACTCCAACACAGTAGCTCACGTTGCTGTGGTCTTGCTGGGCAACGAGCGATGCAACAACGACTGGATCGCCCCACATTTAAAGAGAAACGGTGGCTTTGTGGATCTGCTGTTTCTTGTGTACGACAGCCCGTGGGTCAATGATAAGGATGTTTTCCAGTGGCCCCTTGGTGTTGCCACGTATGTCTGCGTTCATGCTTGGTTGGATTTTATGATGAACTGAAACACGTCTATCATAAATACTGTTTCATTTTTTCCCTTTGTAGATACAGAGAGTTTCCTTTAATCAGGCCAAGTGCTCAGTTAATAACTTCCAACCGGCTATACCTCTGCAACTTCTTCGGGACTGTTTACAAAAATTCCACCAGGGAAACACTAATGCAGGTGATGAAACAGTCTGGTTTAGATAAGGAATGCCTCACCGCTGCCAGGGAAAAGTAAGTCTTTATTCCACAACTTGTTGCATTTATTTCCTGTTTTGACAAGGACCATCTACTGGATCAGTGTAGATTTTCATGTTATGTCTTAACTTGTGTACATTAACTGTTAGTTTTTCAAGAGAATGCATCCAAAAATGTTTATTTTGATGCCTAAGTGTCTGATTAGACTTTGGTTTGGCTTTAGGTGGCTTCCCCAGGAAACATCAGACAGTCTAAAGAGCTACCAAACCGCTCTGGCCCAAAGCGAGCTCACTCTCTGTCCAGTAGGGATCAACACAGAGTGCTACCGCATCTACGAGGCATGCTCCTACGGCTCGGTGCCTGTGGTGGAAGATGTGCTCACACCCGGGAGCTGTGCAGCTGGGCCCAGCTCTCCGCTTCGTCTTCTAAAAGCTGCTGGGGCACCCTTCATCTTCGTCAGTGACTGGAAGGAACTGCCGGCCATCTTGGAGAGGGAGAGGGGAATGAGTCAGGAGCAGAGGGTGGACAGAAGGAGGAGGCTGCTGGAGTGGTACGCCAGCTTCCGTCAACAGATGAAAGAGAGGTTCACTGAGGTCATCGAAGAGAATTTTTTCAAAACTGGCTGACAGGGTTAACATTAATGTTACTTGTTTTGTGGTTTGTGGGGAAAAAATAAGTACTACAGATATTGTGAACCTGGTGATGTTGAGTGATGTCCTATCTGAGAAAGGTTATTATGAAACCTCTTACGTTGTAGTGAAGTGGTGAAGTTGCCATTGTTTGTAAATTATTATTATTTTATTTATTTAATTGAAATGTTTACAGCTGTGGAATGTGCAGGCATTTAGAGATTATACATTTTAAACTGCCTTTACATTTTTAGCCCATTTACTTAAAGTATGGTTTGTATCTTTGTTTGTATGCAGTTAAAATGAACACTTGGAAAACACTAAAAACAAATATTGAAACTGTGCTTCTGTTTTTTTAGTTAATCCTTTTTGTATTAACATCTTGAGAATCAGTGTGCTTGGTGTTACTTGTATTGATTTTTCACCCAAAACCGATTAAAACACTTTAGTTGTATTCATTTCAGTGACGTCGTCCTGCATGGATTTTTCTAAACCGTGTCCTGAAATAAAAAGTTTAACTAATGTGTGCTTCTTTGTTTTGTCTGCAGATGGCGCTCTTGAATATTTAAACTACGTCAGTTGATGTGGCTCAGTAAAGTCGTTTTCTCAAGACTGCAGTTTCTTTTGGAAATTATCAGTTTTATTTAGGCTATATTAGCCTTTATTAGTTAACTGTCCAGGATAATGAGTCAAATAATTACATTAAATGCTACTTTTTTTAACCCAAGGTTCAAATTTCTGTGTTTTTATTCATCCAGGCGTAAGAAGTTATGTTACACGACCTTGTAAATAATTAACTTTTTATTCAAACTTACCCAATTTTAAAAAAGACTATCAATTCAGTCAGTTTTTTTTTCAGTTTATGCTCAGAAGGGTTTGTATAAAAATGATGAACGGTTACCCAAAACCTCAAAGGCAATCTGAAGAGTTTTCAAGGGGAGGGCACCAATAATCGTGGGGCAGCAGATCAAAACCAAACGCAGAAACTTAATTTTAGGAGTTTTTATCATTTTATTGTAGACTAGTTGGTAAATATTACAACATAGAGAAATCTTATTCTCATTACTTTCCTACTTGGTTTGCGAATATTTTGTTGCACCCTGGATGCCAAAAATATGTGCACAACAAAATAAATAATAAAATAATTGTTGCCTGATCACCTCTTTAAAAAAATGAATAAAAAAAGGCATGTAGGACTTTCTAGCCAGGGGTGGGCAGTGGGGTGGCCATTGCCCCCCAGATCCGTCTTTCTTGGTGGCACCACTGCTCCAATGGTTAATAAAATCATAACACTGAACTCAGTGTTTTATGCAGCAGCAAAACTATCTGAAACATTTCCGATTCTGTGTCAGTCTACTGGTATCCACTGGGCTGTGGGCAGATCCCACCCTCCTTCCTTCCTTTCCTGGTCCTTCCTCCAGCTGCTGCGTGCTGCGCAGGGTGCTGCAGTCGGCCTGCCCTGTCTGCGTCGGAGCGTGCGGGGAGTTGGAAAAGGGAGAGAGAGAGAGAAAGAGCGGGAGGGAGGGGTGAGATAAACCATCGTGGGGAAAGCGAGCGGGTGGGGGTAGTCAGTGTGTCCCAAACTGGAAATCACTTCCAGAAAGCACGCACACACTCTAGGACTGAAGTTAGTCTCGGAAGCCGATTGTTGCTTTTGAAACCCTCTCTGAAACTTGCGCGACTATTTTCTCCGTCTTTTTTCTGCTGCTGTGCTGTTGCGCCGTTTCCACTCCACATAGTTCGGAGATTTGCTGGGAGCTGGATTTGCGCATCGGCCCTGGCTCTGTGCTCATCTCGCTTCCACAGGGAACAATGAAGTAGTAAAACTCGCATCTCGTTGCACAGTTAAATTAATTTGTATTGTCGTTTTATTTCTCCGCTCGTTAAGATGCGTCGGCTGCGTTAGGATCCCCCGCTTGTTGACAAACAATTTTGCAAGAAGTTTACAAAGAGCTCCAGGCACAGGAAGACAGAAAATGTCCACACCGAGGTTCAAAAAGGACAAGGAAATCATTGCTGAGTATGAGAGCCAAGTCAAAGGTAAGGAAGTGGGAAGTGGGCTTGGAAATGGGATTTCGGGGACCTGGCTGGTTCGTCACTACCTGCATGAGTCATATCCAGTCATGGCGGTTTGGGGCACAAGGGATAACACACTGTCAAAAAGTCTAAAGTTGTTTGTAATTGAAGATTTTTAAATTTTTTATAGTACAATTTACACAATTTATCAATTTATTTAAAAGGTTATTGAGTTTGCCTCATAAATGCTGCTTGAGATGGCAAAAAGTGCTACCAGTTATCAAAGATACAGGGAAATAACATTAATAGATCCTATGAAGTCTTTACCATTATCATGCATGGCATGTTTCCTGATTTGTGCATTTTGATTAGAGATGCACTTATAACCAACTGGTGATCAAAGTGACTCAGCATGACCGGTCAGTCTGAATCTCAAAGGTCAGATTGATGTGTGTCTGTAAATGCATCGTTGCAGCTATAAGTCTTAACATTTTTCCTTCTTCATACAGTTATTTTTGTTATGGGCAAATCGTGCTAGTTTTAAAGTGACAGTGTGTATTTCCCTGGTGATAGGCAGCAGTGGATAAGCATTTTTTTTGTGTTCAAGACCTTACCAACAGATGGCCATTAGGGTCAAAAATCCTTGGGAGTGCAACCTCCAGCAAAATAGCAAGAACATCAGATTCCCCTTCATCAGTGGCATAGAGTGAATAGGTAAATGTGTAAAACAACAACATTTATTAATGCTGAAAGTTTTGTAACTGTTTGTTACAAATCAGTAAATACAGTCTGTCCTCAAGGGCTTCTGTAGAAAGAAACATGGCATCCAATATGGCGACCCGGTGTTTATGGTTATATGTTATGAAACTGCCAATATTTTTCAACAATTGGGTATCTTTTAATTCATTTACAACAACATTTCAATAGATATTTCCAGAGATTAATGGCACAAACTACACATTGTCACTTTAACTCCTCTCTCATAGGTCAGAGCTGTACAAAAATCGGAAACCGTTATTGGCCCTTACAGCCAGAATTGGTGCATCTCTGATCATTATGGTTTGCTGTTGGTGTTATCACACTGTCACATGGACTAGCTCAGTGGTCCACCCTGGGACTGGCAGATTAGAAACCAAAATCTAGGTCGGGTAACACCAAAGACTTTATAAAAATGGGACCCAACGCCTCCCTGCTTGACACTCAGCTTTAAGGGGTTGTATCGGGGGCTTAAACCACCAAATGGTTCCTGAGTGCAGCCGTGCCTGCAGCTCACCACACCCCACGGGGATGGGTCAAATGCAGACAATTTTCACCTCACCACACCAGTGTGTGACTTAAATCTTAATCTTTAAAAGGTCTGCAATAAAAAAAGGAAAGGAGTTGCTCCAGGGCACTCCAGAAGACCTGTTGGTGTGTGTTTAGACCTTTTCTTGTTTTCCAGACTCTTTCTGTTTCCCGTTTAACCCCGCAAGTCTGTCACTTTTAGGCGTAACGCTGCTGTTTGCTCTGATTTATGGAGGTGAATTACAGGTGTGCAAGACTCTCTAATGATGCCACCGTAACTTATCTTGTCACTTTCAAGACCCCTATGCATGCAGAGGTGGTTTACACACACACACACACACACACACACACACACACACACACACACACACACACACACACACACACACACACACACACACACACACACACACACACACACACACACACACACACACACACACACACACAGGGAAAGAGGCACTTGCTGCTCCAGGGTAACCATGGGGATTTGGCTCCCAGCCAACCAGCTCTGCTCTTCAGTGCCCCTAGATGGCTGAAATACCACCCATTCATGCCCGTGTATCCACCCTTAAAGCCTGTTAAAGAGGAGAGGTTAGCAGAGGTCTCCTGGGTTTAAAACAAGGGTAGAGAGAAGGATCCAGTGCTTTATGAGGAATTACAAAATTACACGTGGCAGAGCTCGAGTTCTCATTTACAAGGAGCACTCGGGACCCTTTCTTTTCCCTGTGAGCATGACTAAGGGCTTAAAACCCATAATAGAGGATGATGCATCATGAGGGATGCTGAGCAAGATGTAAAGCAGGCTCCAATTTGTCATCCAAACGCCAAAGGGATGACGAAAACAACCTGCTGTTGACATTTGCTGTTGCTTGATAGGACCGAATAGTAGTGAAGCGGTTTTCAATTCCGATTTCAACTTCAAATGTTAAGTGAGGAAATTAATAAAGCCTGTATCTCACAGGGCTGTGACTTTAAGGCTGCTTGGATACAAAATTAAGGGAACATTTTGCACATTTTAGGTTGGAATAAAACAGATTTAGTCGTGGGAAACTAATGATGTAAATGCAAAATGATTCAAAACAGGTTCCAGTGAGTATTCTGCAGCCACTTTGAAAGGAATTGTTTTGCATAATCAAACAAAAAGTTCAAAATTCCACTTGCACGACAGCAAGGCCCTTGTGCCATCCACCGTTCCTGCTAAGGAGATAACGTTTTGTACATCTTCAATTTAAAAAAAGCAGTCATTGAATTATATAATGAAACGTTTCATGCACTCACACAATAAGATATCTGTTCAGCTCCCGATTTTGCAGCTGTGAAGTTTTTTACGAGTGAATTTGGGGTGATAATGAGAGCCTAAGCAGAAACCATGTGACAGCCAGAGGCAGGAGTCTGGTGAACAGACACCGATTACTCCAAAAAACTCAACAACAAGCAGCCCGAGAGAAACAAGAAAAACAGCCAAAGCTGGTGTTTGATCTTGTGCCTCACATTCTTTTTGTCTCAAAACCCAAAAAACTGCCTAATTTACACAAGACTCTGACTGTCATCCAGTGGCTAAAAACCCACGCTCATCTATTAAAACCTGTGATTTGATTGGGAAAAACCTTTCCACCAATCTTGCATCACTTCATTTGAAACATCCGTTGTTTTTTAAATGCCAGCAGCCGTGCACTGAGTGATTGCTGTTCAGTCAGAAGATGGAAGGTATTTATTGCAGTCTTCCACGGTGACTGACTGTCTGAAAGCTCTTGTAATGACTCACACAACTGTTTTCCGGCTAAGGTTGTCATTCAGCTGACATTCACTTCCTAAATATGTTCCAACAGCCCTTTTCTACATCCTAAAGCAAAATAAAAAAATTCAAGTGCAAGTCACCCCCTACCAGTGTATAACTCCACTCCCACATCCTGTTTGAAAAATGCAACAAATGCTGTTGCCTAGCAGACCGAGAGGGCGGGGCCGCTAACAAAGGCCGTGTTCGAGATGAGCTGCGCCTCGCCTGGAAAACAGACGAGAGCAGACGGAAGCAGCAGGGAGAGTGGCTGAAAGCCGGCGTTTAAGTCGGACAGATTTCCCTACATGTGTAGATCGGGGGTGACGATGGCTGAAGATATCGCGTTAGAGTTCATACTCGTTTAATTATTTATTTTAATTCTGGTGCCTGTTAGCAGCTGAAACACATCCTCACGTGCTTGTGGATATCATATATTGTATATGGAGACCTGACTGTAATAATGAGTAAAGGTTATCAGCTGTAGGTTTAGTGTGCTCATAGGAAACGTGACAAAAGAACACAAAACACATTTCTCTTTGTGGCCTATATAGTTGTCATCATCAACATAACATGATTTACAGATGTGACCAACTAACATTTCATGTTCTACCACCGGATGTTTGGATCAAAATATGAACCAATCAGATCTTAGATCAGGTGAGAGCCAGGCGTTTCCCGTCATCCTCTAGGTTTTGCAGCCGGTGGAGAGCAACTGCAGCGCCTTGCTCCAAAATCTGCGGCCGCCTTGATCTCACGAGGTTATCGTTGCCTACGTATGCATGATGTTAGAGCAAGTCGGCGTCAAGTCGGTCACAAATCTAACCGGCATGCACTGCTCGCCGATCACCGGTGATCTAATCTGCGCAGAACTGGCTCATCTCGAACACGGCCATTTACAGGCACACACGGGCTCACAACGACATTGTGACATCATATGGTACCAGCGAACATTCTAGGGTAACTCTTAGCCAATATCGATGGCAGATTTTAATTCAAATGCAGTGCAGATTTTTTTTTACTGACAATGGCACAACACTGGCAGTTTTATGCAGAAATTTTTAATTTGAACTAAAATGCACTAAAGTGTAAAACTATTGACTACACGTGTCTGCAGCGCAATAGGACACGCATTTATATAGTTAATCAGAAAAAAAAGTTGATTTGGGGGTGACTTGCTCGTTAAGCTCTGAAGGAAGTTGTTCATTTACCAAAAACACTTTGATACAAATGCAATTTAGTTAAGCTAATTGCTAAGAATTAGCATCTCTTACTCATGGATAATGTAATTTGTTTATGCTTAATTGTGGACATCAGTTGATGATTAAAGGTATTTAATAAGCTAAAGGAAGGTCGTGATTGTTTTGTTAATCTTCGGATCGTTGGAGTAAAGCATCACAACACTGCTGTTTTCCTGTGGTCATAGATTGGTTTCATGTCCAGCTGTGGCTCGCTGTTTGTGGGTTGGGAGTCGTGACTCAGATGACAGAATCCCTCTCTGACAGGCGTCCTCTCCTCGATCATTATAGAGGGCTGCCCCTTGACCCGTCTCTCATTGCTGTTTGAAATCAGACGCCCAAAGTGACGAGATTCAAATTCAAACAAAAACATTAAAAATAATAACAAATACCTATTTCTAAGATATCTCTAACTCGGTTTCTTTAACAGATTCTAAGCTAAATATTTGATGCATCCATGTTTTAGTCATTCCCAACACACACGTCTTGCATTATTGTGTTGGATCACACATAGTGCTATTTGCAAGATGGCTGTCCATTTCAAACTCCATATTTGGTCCAGCTGAGAGTTGAAAATGTCATTTTGCTTGAAAATGGTTCCTCAGACAAATGCATCATGTCACCAGACTTCAGTATAAACTAAAGGGGGGTGCATGTACATTGTAAAACACTAATGCTGTGGGGCACTTCAGTAAGTGGTCTATTCAGAAACACAAATACAAACA